TCTTTTAAAACTATTTAGTGATGGACTCAGTCGAATATCTATGGGTATGTCATTCCAAATTTTTGGACCCCTGAAAAAAATTGTATTTTGGGAAACTAGTGTCCTTACTCCTGGAATATGAAAATTATTTAAAATCCTGGTCTGGTGGCCATGAATATTCTTATTAAGTTGAAAATATTGTAAAATAGTATTTGGTAAAAGTTTTTTAAAGCATAGATACATAAAAATTGCACATTGATAAACATAAATATCGTTTACTTTTAAAAACTTTAGGTTGTAAAAAAGAGGTAAAGTATGAGCAAGGTATTGGCTGTGCGATATAATTCTTATAATTTTCTTTTGTAAAACTAAAAGCCTATTTGTATTTTGCATACTAGAGCATGCCCATACAAGAATACAATAATTTAAGTGGGGTAATATTAATGTATTATACAAAATTAACAATATTTCTTTAGGTAAAAATTTCAATTTATAAAATATACCAACATGTTTAGCCAATCTATTGCAGACGACACCAGTGTGTTCCTTCCAATTTAATTTATCGTCTATTGTGACCCCTAAAAAAGTTAAATGCGTAACGTGTTCAATAAATGATTCCTTAACTTTAACCTTTATTTGGGTAACATCAATGTGTTTTTTAGTAAAAATCATGAAGTGTGTTTTTTTAATATTGATTACAAGTTTATTTATATATAACCAATCAACCAGTTTAGCAAATTCTGTATTAAAAATATTTTGAAGAGATACAATATCTTGATGGGACATAAACACACTAGTGTCATCTGCAAATAATATCAGTTCTAGCACTTTTGAAACATTGCAAATATCATTTACATATAAAAGAAATAATAATGGCCCAAGAATTGAGCCCTGGGGCACTCCACATCTTATCGCCATTGTCTGTGATTCACATTTTTCCAGAACAACATATTGTTTGCGATTACTTAAATAACTTTTGAACCATTCCAGTACAATACCTCTAAAACCATAACATTCCAATTTTTTTAATAATATTGAGTGATCAAGAGAATCAAAAGCCTTGCTAAGATCTAAAAACAGGCCAATCATTATTTCTTTATTATCAAAGGCATTTGTAACTTTATGAATAAAATCAGTGATGGCAGAAGAAGTAGAGTGTCCCGCTCGAAAACCAAATTGTTTGGGAGTAATAATATCGCACTTTTCCAAGAATTTATATACACGACTATATACACATTTCTCTAAAATCTTTGAAAAAATAGGAAGAATAGATATGGGCCTATAATTTGATAAATTATCATTTGATCCATTTTTATAAATAGGAATAACCTTTGCAATTTTAAGTTTGTCTGGGACAACACCAGTATTTAAAGATAAATTGATAATATCACATAAAGGGTAACATAAAATATGAATAACATTTTTAACCAATGTGATATCCACTCCATCAAAACCAGGACTCTTGCCATTTTTAAGTTTAGAAACAATATTAATAACTTCTTTTGGTGTACACGGAGTAAAAAATGCAGATGAATTATTTTTTATTACATGTTGCATACAGTCCCCAGAATTTACAAAAGAAGAAGACAGTGTATGGCCTATATTTACAAAGTATTTGTTAAAAGCATTACACATTGCTGCTGTCTCATTTATCATTGCATCATTGCACTGAATTGAACTTGGTAGCACCTTCTTCTTTACACCCCTACCCAGTACTCCATTGATTATTTTCCATGTGTTTTTCATATCACCTGCAGCATTTTGAAATTTACCTTTAAAATATGCTCTCTTTGTTTCTTTAATTTCTTCAGTTATCTTATTTCTGAAATTCTTGTATTTTTCATGTCTTTCTGGAGTTGGTTTTTTAACATATCGTCTGTATAAGTAACATTTTTTATTACAGAGCTTACGTAGTGGTTTATTAAACCATGATTTATTTTTGAATTTCTTTTTAACTGACTTTTTTAATTGGAAAGCATGACTCATAAATGTTTAAAAACTTTTGCAAAAAATCATTATAGGCTTCATTAGCATCATGATTTTCAACAGACCAACATACATTCATAATTTTATTTACAAAAAGCTGTGAATTTTCTTCATTAAAATCACGTTTAACAGAAGCATTTTCCTTTTTTATTTGTAACTGTAGATTTGAGATTGAAAAAACTGGAAAGTGATCACTGACATCACCGAGGATAACACCTGCAAATATTTCTTCTAAATCATTAGTCAAAATATTATCTAACAAGGAAGCAGAATGATTGGTTACACGTGTTGGAGTATGAATAAGAGGGTAGATGTTGTTCAACATACAAACATCAAGAAATTCATTGACTCTCTTGCAAGATGTAACTAAGTAATATCATCCTCATTTGTCCCTCGAATTATGTTTTCCAATCCTACAAAGGATATGGTAACAGATAGTTATGATTTTGCTCTCACTGATTCATGATGTAGCATAAAAAAGAGCCTAAACATTTTTTATCTCGATATTTTTGGTGGACCTCATCAAATCGTGGGCCGCTATGAACGGGGCAGTAGCTATAGAGTGTCTCAATCTTGTATATCCACCTTCTTTTCACCCTTTGTATTTTGCCTTTTTTCCCTAAAAAGTGAACTTTTGGTTATTTCCCTTTCACTTTAAACAACGCTCTGGCGCATCCGTTACTAAATAACAATTAAACAGAATAGCACTTATTTCAACTTTTTAGTTGCGCTAAACCTAACCTAAAACTGAAATTGCACCCGAACCCTAATACCTAACCCTCTACAGTTTGAAATGCAATCAGGAGCAACTGCCGAATCAGCGAGGGGTAGCACAGTCGACCCGTGTCTCCTCCCTTTGGAAACTCGATTGGCTTTACACCACTTCACAGTATTTTTTCAATCGTGCACACCCCCTTTACAAAAGGTTTCCACCGTTTCTGTAGCCTCCGGCGAGCTGGATATTGTATTGGTATTTGTGACTGGGCGGTATGCTTGGTGAAAGTGGACTCTTCCATCAATTTTCAAAGCAGATTTTCACATTAAAAAAGATAGCTTTCTCGTATTCTTCTTAAATGGCTGGCCATTATACAACAAACTGACATGCCTTTAATCCAACGTACAGTTCGCAAACTCCACGATCTCTCATTGGTCAGTCTACCCCTGTCGGTGACTCATCAATGAATAAAACATAAAACAAAAGTTTACATGAGAATTTGAAGGAAAAAAACACTGAGACGTGCCGGAGAAACGTCTCTGCACTCAAAGGCGTATGAAAATTACCAAAAGCTACCCCCCCCCCCAAAAAAAAAAGGAGAAAATCCCATTGATTTGAAATTTGCCGACAAGTGCATTTGAGAATCCTTTCATGCTAATAAATATATAGTCGCTTGTAAATACAAAATCATTTCATTACATACTGAAATATTCCAACTAGGGTAAAACGAATAATCCACCAAGTAATTGAAAAATGTCTAAAAATTATTGATTATAAAAGAGTCGTTTGCAGTGACCTGAATTGTATTCTATGGATTATAATGAGGCGTAATGAAAATAATAAAAGTGCCAGGTTTGTCTTTAATAATAACCGCAAGTTAAAAAGATTTATTTTCCCCTTAGTAATCATTTAAGCACAAAGCTGATTGACATTTCTTGTTTGAAATGTAAATTCATCAAATTAATCTTTTTCAATTTCCGTTTTAGAATTTACTAAAATTAAAACTTTATCTTGTAATTCTATTTAATTACTTCCAATCCATTTCACTAAGAACGATTTAATCCCCGACTTGCGTATCACATTACCCCTCTGAAAGTCTCAGATCCTTGCTCTTATTAATTTTTTTGAAATCCAGAAACCCTATGAATATAATTACCGGACGGTCTTGTATAATTGGACTTCTTAATTTGACGAACCACCTGAGACGCATTTATTAAATTGTAATTTTTACATATACTTGCACCCTGGATTTTCATTTTTCAATTTGTCTTAGTTATTCTATTATTTTTATTGGTATTGTTTTTACAAAAGTATGTGACAGATTCTGGTTCTTTTTTGCTTGATTAGAAAAGCACGATAACTTAAGATATTATAATATGGATGGAAGTCCTTCTTCTTTTTCTTCTTCTTTTTTTCCCCCATTATTTCTTCTTGCTGTTATTATTTTTGTATTTATGTTTTTATTGGTATGTGAAATCTGACCAGCAGCACAGGGTGAATGAGTCGGCTTACAACTAGAATTTAAAAAAATAGATATTATATACCTATATATATATATAACCCTACATGGTACATTAAGCGGACATCATAAAAATCCTAACCCTAACCCTAACCCTAACCCTAACCCTAACCCTAACGTCTACTTAATGACTCATTTTTCATTCAAAATGTCACTCCAATGACACCTTTAGTGGAATTACATATTTATAGAGAGATATATAAACAAATTGGGCCTTCTATGAGAAATAAAACGTAAAAAACGTTAAGAGGACACCATATTGTCCTTCTAATATGTCTACTTAATGACTCATTTTTTCACTCCAAATGTCCCTCTAATGACGCCTTTAGTAAAATATATATATATATTATATATATATATATCTCAAATCAGTATCAACGAATGGTACATTGAACACAAGGGCCCGAATTGAAAACGCGTCATATGACGTACGAAAACCAAGGTTTGTCGACAAACCTCCTTTGTGAATTCGGGCCATAACGTCTGTGAACGCTTTTAGAAAATGATACAAAACCGTAAACTGGGTAAAAGGAATATGATTGGGGTGAAACATGTACAGCAAATGGGAAGAGTGTATTTATAGACAGGATCCTGTTCTTCCATGAACCATGCACACTTTAAAAATATTATTTTATTCATCCTCTTTCCAAAAGGGCATGAATAATTTCTGGGGGAAAATACGTCCCCCCCCCCCCCCCCCAAATGACTTGCAGTTTTTATTCTCTTCTCTTCGCACGGTACACAATATAAACGAAAAAGGAAACTTGAAATAGTTCAACAAAATAGATACGAGACTCAATCTCTACTACAATATTGTTTTATTAACAATTTCAAAAATGTTGTCAATATCAATTATGGAATGCATGTGCAACAAATAAGTGTAAAATAGCCCTTTTTACTGTGACATGAACCAAAAGATCGTACCTTTTGTATATATCGAGTGATGTAATCTATGTCTTAGTTTCATTATGTAAATGACAAATTTCAAAAGTACATTAAACAATTTTTCAAATGACCTAGAAATGATTTGAGGCATAATACCCCCCCCCCTTCTGTCCATCACGATCTTTTTTTTCTTCAAAAGAGGTCTTGTAGTTTTAGATAGAGATCCTTGCTTATATATTTGTTTTCTTCTGATCCCTTATATAATATATAATGTAAAGACTTTAAAAAAAAAAAATACTTAATAAAGCGTGCAACAACAAAAAATTCTTTGAAATATCTGAAAGGCATGGTCTTCGAATGTCAATAATTATTGACATATACTGTTATGTATTTAATTGAAACGTTCGTGCATGCGTAATGCTGCTGATAAGGGAAGAAATGGACAAAGTAGTAAAGTAATAAACAGTGCTTACACAGGTCAAGAAGTGTTCTTGAGGCATCTACATGTACATGTTTATGATATAAACACCTGGTTTTCTTCTAATATCTAGTAAAACTACTGATCAATTAAAGTTTAAATAGGTAAAATATCATACAAAGGCAATTTTCTGTTGCACTGATAATAGACATGTGTGAATTTTAATTCAGAAACATTTCCAACTGAGATATTCAAAGTTGAGTGCATAAGCTCTTACTCAAGTTATCTATTAGTAGACAAACCATTAAAGAAAAAAAAAGGGTTTTAAAAAGACATAAATTTTAAAAAAATACAGAAAAGCTATTTTGTTCGACCCCTTTGATTTATAATTACACTAAAACGTGAACATAAATATTTTTTAAAGTCTTCAAATATAGACGTTGTACACAACTTGTTTGCGTATATTGTCCTGCTAAAGGTCATATGGTCTTTAATGATAACAAAATAAACAAAGTAGTATATTTCAACTAAGAAAGATAATTACATCAAAATGAATACTATCATCTATTTATCATTCTAAAAAGGATAATCATAACAAAATAAACACTATATTCTATTCTACAACGAGAGATGTGTTATTCTGAAATGGCAAGACTTTACCTTGATAGATAATGTTCAATAAAAAATACTGGTTTTAAACATTCATTTTTCTTGTTCTATACATCAATTTAAAGCAACAAAAGAAAAAGAAAATAGAAAAAAGGTTTTTGTTTTGTTCGATCTGGTTGGAATCTACAATATAGTTTAGATAGTTGTCTATAAAACTATTTAATTTGCTTTGAAAATATAGACACATTTTACTTGACAAGGTATGCTAAGCAACAGAAACTAGAAGAAAAATCTGTTTTACATAAGTCCCTGCGGATTTTAAGTTAATTGTCATACGTTTGCCACTACACAATTTTTTCCACTATTCTTTTCTACAATTACATACATGGTTCATAATTGCATAAAATGTGAGAACACAGACCCCGCACTCCCATCCTATGAAGAGTTGCCATTGATTTGAATTTATTACAACTGAACTTAAGATTGATTTCAATCCCCCCCCCCCCCCCCACCCTCAATACATAAGAGATGCAAGAATGTGTGTTGTGAACATAAAGATCATTAAAATATGTTTATTAGATAGGGGTCCAGGATACAAAAACGAAACTTGGAACCTACTGCTTGTTGAACTAATTTTGCTATGTCAATCTATGCCAGAACAAGTTACAACTATACACCACTAATGGTTCCTCAGATGAGATATAAATGTAAGACTTAAAATCTACAGTTTGTATTTACATGCATGTTCCTTTTGTTCGTTACTTTATTCATATTGACGGAAAATAAAATAAAGTGATACTGAAAGTGAAACTTAAATCTTTACATTGACCTCTATGACCTTTGACCTTTGCAGTAAATGGTGACATACTAGTAATACAAAGGCTGAAATTCACGACTCACAGGGTTCTCCACATATAGCGATGACACATGCTCTGGCGACATCATTGCTCCCCAGTCAATTTCTAAAACTAATTGAAGTCCTAACTTCAACCCTAGAACTAAGACTATTATATACCTCAACCCCATAATTAATCCTAAACTTATGCTAAACTCTAATCGGGTTCAGCTCAATGCCTGAAGCAAATGTCTCTCGAGCACAAGTAGAAACATCCAAAGCAGGCCGATGGATAAACAGACAACCCTAAAACATCATGCCTCTGTAATCACCATTTTTTGGTGGAAGCATGTAAATGTGATATAGAAATGATGATTTATATCACTACTTAATCATCCTTAAGCATTTTGTTCTTAGGAACAGGTATCCTTGTTCCATTCCTCTCAATATACATCAACAGGGTATCTAGATACTCACAATATGCAAAGAGATTCTATATGATTATAATCATATGCTGTTCTTGTATAGTGCATATATCTTATTATGATATAAACGTCCTTCTTTGCTTCAAAAGAACTTTGGATATTGGTACCCCGGCTTAAGCTCTGGCAACCGTAGCACTCAATAGATTCAAGAAATAAACCCTACTAGGTACCCACTTACTACACCTGAGTTGAGTGTGGCAAATGAAGATTAATGTTTTGCCAAAGGACATTAGTGCTACTGCAAGGGATTCAAAACCCATAACCATGTGGTTTACAGTCCAGAGACTTATCCACAAGAGCACAACATCTCTTGGAAGTTATTTTCGTCCTACTTTAACTGATTCTTTTTAAGACTGCAGTCTATGTTCCTAAAATAATGACAGATATTTTTAAAACTACGTCTGTCAAATTTCCTGATGGACAGGGGAAGACTGTGATCATTTATTCATAAATCTGAATTACACTTCAGAGATATAAATATGACTGAGCAAAATTGTCAAGAATACACTACTTCAAAATCCTTTACAGCACAATACAAAATTGTGCATTTATATACATAATGGGTAATCTCAAATGTTCAACCATAATCTAGGTACAGAATGAAACTAAATAAAAATATTTGTGAAAATTGAAGGAAAAAAAAATCCTTAAAAGGAACTATAATAGGTAACATATAACACATACCAAAAAAGCTGTAAAAAAAAATCATATAAAACAAATTGCACATCTGATGTGGAAGAGGGCAACAGAAAAAGGAGGTGATAATTTCAAGAGTACCTCCTGCCCATCTTATGATGCAAGTCTTTTAAGATTGCAAATGGAAGATCTAATATATGAATTACCATACTACTTGAGAAGCAAATATAATAGACTACATGCTGTATTGCGTATTCACGTTCTTGCTCTTTTCACTTTTGCTTTATGAAAATTACATACACACACACAAAACGCTTCACTAATCTTTCTATCCAAGTGATCATAAAGAAATGAAAAAATATTACAATTCTCTGCATTTTCTTGTAGAATATTCAAGTTATTCAAAATGTATCAATCAATTGATATTGAAAAACCATCATAAAACATTTGGAGTTTTTAGCTTCATCATATGAAGCTATTGCTAAGTGTATTATAAATCAAGGTAAAATAAATTGAAAAGAATCTACTAATGCATTATAATGTTAAGGTTAATCATGACAAAGACACTACAGTCATTTCTAGCATACAAAGTAGTGAGTATTGAGTTGCTATAAAGCTTTGAAAGAAAAGAAGAGTGGCTATGAAGCCAAGAAAGTATTTCTAATAAGTTGAAAAAAGAAAATATATAACAATGATAAATGAAATTTTAGAATAAAATGCGAGAGAAATCTTGGATATGAACTATTGTTTATATTTTTTTTTAAACTCAAATTTGTAATAAAATTTTAGACAAAATTAGTCCATTGCTGAAATAGTTGTTTAATACAATCCAAAAACCAGCAATTAACTCATAGCCTGTCATAAGGCTGCATGCACACTATTGTTAAGGTGCCATGTACACGCTAGCAAGCTATTGCTCCTCTGCTTCTTGCATGATGGCACGCAAATGTAATAGCAGTTATTGTTCATGCCCATTGGACTGTGCCTAGTGTTTTGCACGCGCTATTCATAGAACCATCGCGTTAATCAGATTATCTCCAAAACAATGTGGCACGGGGGGATTTGGGGCTTGGCACAATGGGGATTAGCCCTGTGGCAGAATAAGAGTTAAAATAACAACAACATAGGTATTCACTTTCCATTTCACTTTACTAATATGAAATAATTCAGAAAAAAGCGTCCAATTTCTCCTTTTCTTACAATGACACAGATCTAAAAAATAAAAAATTGGTAAGGTAGAAATTCATTTATAAAAAGAGTTATGACGTCTGTTCCGATTGTGTGTTATCCTTTTCTGATTTCCTTTTCCGAACTGTCTGATCACCACTGTTCCCTTCATCAATTGCTCCTTCTCCTTCTCCTTCCTTGTCCTCTTCTTCCTCTTCCTTTTTCCTTTCATCTGCCGTGCCTTCACCATCTTGAGGGAGTTGGGAGTATGCGATCTCTTGTCTTGTTGGAGGCTTCACAGGGAAAAAGAAGTCTGCTACCATCACTAGGATCTAAATAACACATCACAAGAAATAAGAAGATAATAGACAAGGTTATTATTGTATCTGTATCTATATTCCTTTATGGTTTCCAATACTTTCCATAAATTTGTGAAGTTACTATTTGTAAAGTAATATCAAATACAGTGGCTAAATGTGATTGCCAAGGGGTATCAAAAGACCATTTCTTGACAGTGGGTGTTAGATCAAATTTGCTTGACATAATTTCCAACTAGCAAAAGAGAAGGTAATCACTTTTTTTCTGACAAGGTTGAATAACCTTCCAATATTCTATGATGCCTTTCCCAGTTACACTGCAGGGGACAGATTGCAGAAAAGTTGTGTGTTTATATATATATATATATATATATATATATATATTAAGAAGGCCTCAAAAGCCGAAAGCTCGTAATAAACTTGTAAATACAGCTACGTCTCACGTTCCTAGACCATTTTCTTCACAAATATATATATATATATATATATTTATATTAGTTGATTGGTCATAAAAAACATGCAAATTGTCCTTCATTACCAAGTGCAGATAAAGACTAATCTATGCACAATCGAACAACTTTAATCTCTCCAAAGTAAACAGTACCTCGAAACAGAATTCACAGTTTCCGCATTTACAGTGAAAAGACGGATAGATCTTACCATCCCTCGTATAAAACCAAGCAAAGAGGGAGAACATAAAATAGAAGGGAATATCTTACCATTCCAAGTATTAGACCAATCATGACAGTCACTACAGCAAAGAACCCATAAGAGCTCCAGGAAGGAAACCCATACTCCTCTGTCAGTATTGTATGTGTTATCTAGGATGAAAAGGTGATACATTTGAGGTAATTCTGAGTAAATGCAGAAACTTAATATCATGACCTTGATACAGAAATACCAATTTAATTATGGAATTTAACTCAAAACTTGAATAAGTAGGTGTAGCCTACAGGCTACAGTATATTCAAAATATGAGCTTCAAATACTACTTATATAAAGAGATACTGCTAGTTTAAATACACTCTTAACTGACATAACACTATGTGTGTTGAGACTACTCAACTCACGGGTACCAGCTTGCATAGAATAGGGCTCTCATTGAACCCAAGTCTGATTGGGTTCTATGCACGCTGGATTGACATTTCTTTTTTTCTTCACACTCCTTATCCTTTCACCCATATGCTGGGTAAATATTTTGAGATTTTTAAATTTGTATATACATTCTACATGTCCATAAATTATTTTGTTAGGTGATTGGTACAATTTATGTCCATATAGCAAGAACAGTCAAACCTGCTTTAGTGACCGCCTGTCTACAAAGACCACATTTTTTGTTTCCCTTGAAAATGGTTTCTCATTGAAACATGTACTTAATGAATCTGTCTACATAGACCACCCTTTGTGTTTCCCTTTGGCGGTCGCTATCTAGACAGGTGTGACTGTAGCTTGCCAACATAGAATCACCAAATTACTTATATAGTCATGGATTGACAAACCTACATTGTTCACATTACAGATATGTCCTATCCTTTGGCATACAAGTAGTAATGCGACAAATATTGTGGGGTGGTGGAGAAGGCCGGGGGAGGGGGGGGGGGGGTAGCCAGATTCCCCAAGAAACCTATGTATGGTTGGGACCCAATCCAATCCGAGTCTGCACAATATGAAACAACACAAGGTCTGAAAGCATAACATTGAAAAGTATCAGGACATGAACTCGCATGATAGCCTGAAAATGGTCAAAAGACTTACCCTCACAAGCATGGACATCTTAAACACCCATGAGAGAATCGTCATTCTGGAAAATAAAAATAGTCAGATTTCAACAATTACAACATGAATTTAAAAAAGTATATAAAACAGTTTTCCATATCACCATGACTCGAACTTTGTCTTCTAATATCATATTCTTTCTGAATGCATAGAAGAAAAAGTACTGTAAAATGGCGACTGGCTGGAATGCTCCCCAGGGAGTGGAGAATGTGCATACATTGTGTGCGCGGAACCTTGAATCCGATGACCGGGGTAATAATATATATGTAAAGCGCTTAGACACATCGTTGTATCGATGTATTTGGCGCTGTCTTGGTTTTTTTTTAGCTGGTGTTGGTACATGGTGCAATTCATAATTATTCCATTGTTTCTTTCCTTGCATATTTGTTTTCTATCATCTACCAAATCATTATTATAACACCTAGGAAGATGTCTTGACAAAACCCATATATTTTTTTTTAAATCTCTACCAAATTTAGTTCTATCATTCATAATTCATGCTATACCAAATGCAGTTAGTTTATATGGAGTTGCAGGTCTTTTATTCAATGAATTAAATAGAAGTATGTGAACTGAAATTAAAATATAACAAATGTGAATGTATGAAATGGGATAAAGTGTATGGAAACTCAAATGAAAGACTTAGGCAAATGGTCATATAGCTGTGATGTAATATACGGTAGGTCAACTCTTTCATGTATCTGGATATTAAAGTCTCATATGAAATAAAGAACAAAGCTCACTTTATAGACAAAATGTGAAGACAATCCATAAATAAACATGACCCATCTCACATTTTTTCAGGATTTATATCTTGATTCTCTGTGTTTGCAGTCAGAAAAACTTAATAAAGGTACAATAGCCTTACAACATATTTTTTTGCGCAATCAACACAAACCACTTGCAAAAGAGTAAAAAGTGAGTTTTTGTTCTTACGCAATAGAGTTTGGAGACTGCCATCCAGCTACAGGCTCAATTTCCTCATATTTTCTCTCTTCTACAAGACTGATCAGGTCATCTTTGGTGCGCGGGCCAAGGTACCTTCTGAAAATTCCATCTTTCGCACTACATCAGGATAAATGAAAAAAAAGATGAAATGGTCAATAATATTAGAGAATCAATACATTTTTAGTGTTAATACTGTTGTTTTTTTAATATTTATATTCATATTTGATATATTTACAATATGGAGTGACATGGTTCAATACATAATTTTGTTCATGTCAGGGGTCATAGATCTTTCGAAGTTATGAAACCTTGAGTCTGCAAAGGATTAAAAAAGTTTTTAAACTAATCACGTTTGTACTCTATTTTTCAGAAACGCACACACACACACACACACACCCAAATTGACCAATTCCTTGGCAGAATAAAGATGCAGCAAGACCTATACTCTCCTGTATCAAAAAGGGGAGGTAAATCCTCTAAAAATCTTCCATCAGGGCCACCTCACTGATATTTTATAACATTAATGATCTTAAGATACATTCTGAATGTCCCTTTGGCGTTCATGCCCCTCAGAATTTCATCATTGACAACATTATAAGGACAGGAAATGAATGCATCCTCAAGAGCAGGAAGCAATAACTGGAAACTTTATTGTAGGAGATAACAGTTTGTGAATGAGACAGATTTCCAGGAAATAGAGGATATCCCTCTATTTCAGGTGAATATCCAAGAATAGGATACACAGGCTCTGGTCAAATCTTATCATTTAGTCCCTCGATGGTAACACAATCTTATATATAGATAATTGGATATCATGATATCTGCTTGATTTTTGTCAACATTCCTATAATTTTACTTTACAATGCCCCTTGAAATGGATTTTCAACATGTATGTTCAACAGTTTAATACAGCCTTTTAAAGATAATATTGAGATTCGCTTGAAAAAGTACACCAAGTCGAAATATGACAGGCAAAAATATATTAATTCATCTTTCTCTGGATTAATGCAAACATTGACTAATTCAAGTTAAGACTGGATGAATGAATATGAAAAAATAAAATCTGTATACTTCTCTTGATAGAGCTGATGCAGCAGAGCTTTAAAAATTAAACTTTAAATAACAAACACATGTGTTAATTTTAATACAAAAGTTTTTTTCAATAGGAATTATAGGACGTTGGATAACTTGCACTTAGGCCTGTTTCGTGAAATGATACCCTGTGGTTTTAATCTCTCTCTCTCTGTCTCTGTCTCTTTCCCCTCTCTCTATCTCCTAACTTCTTTCTCTCTTCTCCCTCTCTTTCTTTTTTCTTCTCTCATCCCACCCCCCCCCCCCCCCTCTCTCTGTCTCTCTCACTCTCTTCCCCTCTGAAGATACACACTTACTGGAAGATTGATGGCAAAGACGTAACCGCAAAGCGTCCACTTAACCCAGGTTCCTCTGTGACATCCACCTCAGCAATGTTGGTGTTGAGTTCTTGACTCCAATCAGAAAGCTCCTTCCATACTGGCATGATGGACTTGCATGCCGGACACCATGGAGCATAACTAAAAAAAACAAGATTAACATGTAGGGCTTTGCCCACTTTTGATATGACCGCACAATCTACACGATAATATTAAAAGCATCAATCTCTAGCCTGTTGGTTTTGGAAAGCTGGATGCACGCATGGGTGATGCTAAATTTTAGTGCACTAATACCTGTTCACTCGCAATGACAATGTGTGAACGCGAGTAGGCGTAGAACCGTTAGCGCACTATAATTCAGCATCTCACATTACATTTCAGTGCTGTCCGAAACCAACAGGTTAGAGGTCAACGCATATATCATGTAAATCAAGTTGCCATATTCCATGTGCACAGCGTCATGAGTTAGACCTATACTTCAGCTTATAATTTCATATTATAGATATATCGACTGCTGTGAGAGGACTGGCTTTTTTATAGGCTCAAGGGGACGTTGCATCCTCCCATGATGCCCGAGGCGCGCCTGGGTGGGGGGCTTGCCGAGACTGAATGTTACAATCATTTGGGAATCCCAGACAAAAAGCACTGTATGGTATCCACAAACTAAGTTTGAACACCAATTTCGACCAATCAGATGGCTAGATTTCTAAAGAGAGGTAGATCTAGTCGGTGCTTGTTCAGAAACCTATCCAAAATGGTGGGTTGCGGGCGGGCGCGCACGCGCCTGTGTGAAGTTATCTACCCTAATGAGGATCTGAGACTTTACGGTAGAAACCTTCACACAGGCGCATGTCCGCCCAGAACCCACAATTGGTACGTACTTGTATTGTGCAGCGGTTTGCCGTGAAACCTGTGAAACCTGTGAAAAAGTGTATAGAGTAAAGGAGGGGGTTTTCGACCACTTTTCGATTACCATTAGAAAGAGTTGACACAGCTAGATACGAGGTTTAATTGTGAAGATGACCGTAAACTGCGTGAGGGTTTGTTTGTATTCCTCGGTTAATTCTTGCAGATAAATTGGTGCCAATTCATGAATGCATTTATAAGTTAAAACTAAGATTTTGTACATAATGCGGTACGTCACCGGCAACCAATTATGCAATTCGCGAAGTACTGGGGTGATGTGTTTACAAGAACGAGTGCGTGTAATAAGCCTGGCAGTAGAGTTTTGGATTCTTAATCAGTTAATACAGATACAAATTTTAATAAACATTCTGGCTAAATGTATATAATCTTGTAAATAACTGATGTGACAAGAGGAGAGCCAAGACGTTGAACTTGAAACTGTATACGATTACGACTGCAAAATGCTGTGAACTTACTAACAGGAGTAGACACAGTTGGGACTAATAATAAATTTTCAGAATAAATTGGGATCTACGTACAATTTGATAAGCCATTCTCCTTCCAGTGTCCTCGACCAGTCCTTGTCTGTAATCTTCACAACATTTGTCTTTCCTGATTCTCCATAGCGGAATACACATATCAGGAAAAGTAAGATAAACACTTCACGTTTTGGGTACATTTTTGCCGGTTAACTTTCAGAAAAATTGGAAAAAATAGTTATTCACGGATGTGTATTGTAGATTTAAATCAGCAACAAAGATTATCAATGACGTTAATTGCAACGGCAGTGTTCAACTCAGATGCCATAAAACGACTGGACTACAAGTCAATCCAAATCAGCACCAGCACTCCTTCCTCAAAAGTCCACGTGTAAAAACATCGGTGGTAGACAAGATACCGAGAGAGAGAGAGAGAGAGAGAGAGAGAGAGAGAGAGAGAGAGAGAGAGAGGGGGGGGGGGGGGGAGGGGGGGGAGGGGGGAGGGGGGGGGGAGGGGGGGGGGGGGGGGAGGGAGAGAGAGAAAAAGAGGGAGATAGAGGGAAAAGGGGGAGGGGGAGGCCCTGGTTGAAGCATGAGGTTTCTTATTGGAGGATTGATGTAAAATCTCTAATTCTCGTCTATGTCTCCTCACATCAAGAAAGTTTACAAGTCTTTTCTAATGTAGAAAACTGATTACTATTACTTTATTTTTCATCTATAAAGCATTTTTGTTTAATGTTTGCAACCAGATCCATATCGAAGGGAATAATTTCTGCTCATGGGATAGGGAAATGGGGGGGGGGGGGGGATCGCGCAGACCCCCTCCCCCCCCCCCCCAAAAAAAAAAGAAAAGTGAAGATACTACCTACGCCTCTAATGTAAATGTACAATGTTTCGCGGTTACGAAAGGTGAATTCATATACATGTGATTTATTGAAGAATCTAATAAGCGAGTTCGTAATTAGGATTTGCGCATGTTCAGATAAAGGTCATTCGTTCCCAAATTGAGACGAATAACTATATCGTGCTCATGAAAGTTATGTATTTAGTATATGTACCGACAGTACATTTATCTGATACACAGGTGGAAGTATTCTTCTCAAGAGGGCAAACAAAAGGTATTCATGAAGCACCTCCATCACTTCGCCAGTGATTATTCTAAAATGCACAAGTGGGACGTTGTTTCTGTAAAGGTGATTTGTGTTTTAACAAGCTGTGCTTTTTTAACAGACCACCTCTTTTTCCACATTTGTTAAAGTCTTTATAACTGTTTCATTGTTAATGTATTTATGCTAGTTTACGATGAACTTGTTACTACTGTTACTGAATGAAATGTTTTTTTTATGCAAGTGGAAAGAAATAAATAAATCTTGAATCTTGAATCTTGACGCCACGTATCCATAGTGTAAAAGATCTGTGGATATTTGGTGGTCATGCGTTCCGAAGCTATTTACGAGCTGGCCTGTATCCCCTTCATATAAGAATCATTGATAATTGAGCTTACTGTAGTGAAATGTTATCAGATGCTTCTTCACACGAACATAAAATTATTACACAGTCTGTAGTGCGTGATCATAAAAAAACAGAAATTGTACACAGACGCGCGCACCCACATACACACATACGAAAAATTGATTATCAATTTCATACAGATAAGTGACTTAATATCTAGAAAAATGCTTCATGATTATGAAAAGGGGCAGGATAGAGAGGTTATTGTAGATAGAGAAAGAGAGAGAGAGAGAGAGAGAGAGAGAGAGAGAATGAGTGAATGTGAGAGAGAAGAGGAGAGAGGGCGCATATACTGACTGAAACCGGCAATAGTGAATTGAAACCAATGAGTTTTATTTCCAGTGTTTTAATTATCATTTCTATAACGACGTTATTAACGATGACAGAGGAATTTTCAAATTGAATCATCTGTTCCATAACACATACATACATAAAAACATACCTACATGTATATACATAACTAGGCCTATATATTTCTATATTAATTTTATAGCAGCTAGTATATGGGAACTTTGTTCCTCTGATAGGCTATATAAATCGATATAAAATGTATTATTTCTTCTTTATAGGGGCACAGAAGTAAATACAAAAATGAGCAGACTTTGTCTACTAAACCGTGTGAGTCAAAAAAAAGTTTACACCTAGAAAATTGCTAATTATTTTAAAAATCATCTATGTACAGTAAATTATTATACATCTTATGAAAGAATGTTTTATCCCAAATCATTTGGGACCATTTTTGTGTGGTATGTGTTCACGCTTGGATGAACAGGTGGCATTGTTTACGAGAGTGCAAAAATCGACTTGCGCCAAAGTTTTGCCTTCAGTATGTATTATGTTGGGATTAGTGGAGTGAGAGAATGGATTGAATGTATCAAATGAAATGCATTGCATAATGTTTTTTGCAAAGGGCAAAGTCACACACACCCACGGACACGCGCACAAATGTTCCTTGATATTTGATATTCGATATTCGATATGTGTGGCTTGATTAATTTTGTTAGGGGTGTTATTTGGATCTGCAACGACCGAATTAATACCCAAATCCCAATTGTTTTATTCAAACATCACATAGGCAACATAGGCGCAAGTCGATTTTGCACTCTCGCAAACAATGCCTCCTATTCACCCAAGCGTGAACACATACCACACAAAAATGGTATTAAATGATTCGGGATAAATCACTCTTTCATAAGATGTATAATAATTTACTGTTCATATGATTTATATAATAATTAGCAATTTTCTAGGTGTAAACTTTTTTTTTGACTCACTCTGTATATCTCTTTTTATCCATAGGATAGGCACGCTTTTGTACCACTGTCTTTCAAGATATACCTGAGTACCTGACCATAAGATAGATGATTTGCGCGTGATAATTAAGCCTATATACCAAAGTCCAGTCGAGTATACGCCACAACTTCCTGGTACATCGCAACATATGTTTCAGTTCGTGCAAATCATCGCATACAAAACAGGTAAGAACCTAGCTAATCATAAGATTGGAGGTACCTGTGACTTTATACTTTAAACATCTTAAGAAAATCCAACTGCCCGACGCTACTCCTTGTACATAGCGTACATTAACTTTTTTACAAACTTCCCGGCCTATGTAGCGAAGGCGTACTCAACTTCCCAGTGTGTGCAGCATGCATTCTTCACGTCTAGTCTAGCTATATAGGCAAGAGCCCATTTTCTTGCATGCCGACCATTTTACGCTAGTATGTAAACGCGAGGGCGAACGTATCGCCTGAACAGTTTTCTTTTATTTCAGAGAGATGTCTGACTAGACCCTAAACTATGCTAAACCGTTTAGTGTTACCACATACAGTATGTACGTATGCTGGTCATACTAATAGGCTCTTCATACAATATCATAATCAATACCTGGCAAGACGTACTCTGGCCGAGTATCATTCGGGCTCTACATAAATTGATTTGAGATCTTGGGAAGATCTTCTACAGGCTACACACGGTGTGCAGCCTGCACGGAACTTCGCTGTGTATATTCATGTATTCTTTAATTACAAGAAGAAAATTCACCAGTGTTCTATTGATGCCCCATATGAAAAGAAGGACGTTTGTACATGCTCACGATTGTGTGAATGCTTTTTATCAGAGCCATTTACAGACAGAGTTTGACCAACTTGTTATTATATCATGGCGTATATGTTCTCGTGTATTTTGTAAATGGCTTTATATTTTCCATAATTTATGATTTTTTTTTTTTGTATTCGTGAATCAGTTACATTTGTCACATAATATGAGGGGCCTTAAGCTGTGCTAGTTTAACCAAGTTCTCCTCATATTTCATTATTCTACTTTGTGTGCTATGGAATACAGTGTATATAGACGATACTCAGTGTACTGTTATGTTACTCTAAGGCACGGTTCTATATTACGAGAAGGCGCCATCTGTTGAGAACAGTTATGTAGCCCACGAACGCAAACGTACGTGCGCTCTCAAAGGTCAATTATTTTATGAAACTCCAAATAGTATACCCTCCCACAATTAAAAATCTCTATGGGATCGGAGAACGATTTACTCTGCTAGCTATGGTGGAGAGCTTCAGTGATATGTGTTCTATTATATATTGCTTGGTCATTCTATTAGTATAAGCCCAACTTGTCAGCTTGGTAAAGGGCCTCGGATGTCACTGGAATTACTAATACTAATATCACTACCAATACTGATACTAATTATACTAACACTAATCCTAATACTAATACTAATACTAATACTAATTCTTATTCTAATACTAATACAAAGAAAAATACTAATACAAATACTAATGCTTCTACTAGTATACAAATATACACTATCTTGAGAGTTTCTGGTTAAAACTATGCTCAAGAGCTGACTCCAATTTACCAATTATAATATTTGCTAAGGAGCGCAGCCCCGAAGCAAATGGTACTTAAGGAGTCACCAAGGCCCATAGTTTTAACCAGTACCTCGAATAGAAGGCATGGTATATTTGTTTTATATCCTGCATCAACAAATTATTTTATAAAAATAAAAAAAATTGGGAAAAAAATTAAAACAAAAGAAATGTCAATTTTGATCTAAAACGATTTAAAATATTTTGTTTTCATTAAATTAAGATTTGAAGAAAAAAACAAAATTAAATTAAAAATTAAAAAAATTAATTTTTTCAAACTCCCAAATAGTACTCCCAAATAGTACTCTCATTAAGTACTTTCTTAAAATAGTTGAAATATTTCTGGTCATGTGACGAGCTCTAAACCAATCAAAAGCCAACAAATTTTTGATGCAAAATATAATACTTTTTATAGTACTAATGCTATTGCTTATACTAATATCAACACTTTCATACAGGTTTGACCAATTGGTTGAAGAAACAAAAAAGTTTTAAAAGCCAGACACATATATCATTATATAATGCAAACAATTGTATTTCTTGTCTTTTTGTCGTCCCACTGGGTCTGTTGATTTGATAATATTTGTTTTAATGTAACTTGATTAAAATAACTGGAGTAATGTTGCATTTGTTTTATTTGGAAATAAATGGGGGAAGGCCTATTGTGCAATGGACTAGTATTTGACATTCAAACGATTGTCATACTTCTCTGATTTAATTAAGTAAAACAATTTAGTGAAATACAAGCACTATATTAATTAATTTCAATGATCCATTTGATTATCCACAGGTTAGGTCAGAATACATCAGAAACATGGCATTCTCTAAGCAGCAAGATATATCTGGGCAACTGGTCCAACTTTCAAGTGCTAACACCAGATTCGCCCTCCATCTTTATCAAACTCTTCAAGATGAACGGAGAGGTACAAATCTGTTCTTCTCC